TATATAGACATGTTTGCAAACGCGCTAATTTTGAACATGTAGTTGTGACATATTTGATATGTACTAATTTGGAAATTGATAATGGGAAATCTGCATCACGCAAAGCGTGATTACTGGACGTTCCGTGATTATTAATGTGAGTGTTTCCCACGATGAGAAAAAAGGGGCAGAAACGCAAACTGCTGACTCGTATACCCCCTATGAGTTGTAGCCTGGGGTATTCTGCAAAAAATTCATCTGAATATTATTTTGAACGAGAAACATATAGCAGGTATATCTCTAATCCTTGTAAATACCGATATAAGGCTTGTCCAGTCACATTCTGGACGTACAGTAACTAATGAAACAAATTTATTAGTGCTCTTATTAATTTAGCAAAATCGTAGCTTTAATAAATCGGATATCTTTTCTTGTAATACAGTAATAGCAGAGTAAAGGTAAATAGAAATCTCGATTATTTTAATAATAATTTGGCAAGCAAGCTCACAGTAATGCATGTTCGCGCGTTAAATTAATATTATTCAAACTCAGTTCACGAAACATCATGCATGCTCTGCTCTATATGCTCTATATTTACTGTATATATTGTTTATATAAGGTATATCATCAATATATATTAATTCTCAATCGATAAGGAAAAAAAAAATAGCATTCTAATATAGGAAAATTAAAGTATGCAACTTCCACCCGTCTGAGTCACATACTTAATAATGACGTTTTGTTTCGAAATTTCTGTTTATACTAAGATCTGCAGGCGCTTTTTGGGCCAGGCACCTAATTTTGACCAGGTCTTTACACCTATAACACAAGGTACCCAACATGTGCCATACCCGTGTGTCTGTACTCTTTGTTCATTACATTTAATAAAATATTAGAGACTATCGCTGTTAAATTATACCAGTAATTCATTTCCTTATACAGTATCTGCAGAATTAAATCCAACCTCAAATGTTAATTATCATTTATCAGAATAATTATATGTTGCTTTCTTAGCAGTTAATAGTAGCCTATGCAATTTATATAATAGACTTATCTAGATGAATGTTCTTTATACTGTATAAAATATATATATTATTTGTTCTGAACCCTATCAATTCCGGCATATAAATCTATCGTAAACTGAACAATATGAATGAATGTTATTGGAGAAGTGCAAAGAATCTTTTTTCAAGACAAGATTTAATATATACAGAAATTAAAAATGTCATGCTTGTTTCATATACAATGGCGCATGTTCTACGCAATTTAGCTGTGTAAACTTTTAAATTGTAACTTCAAATTCTAAAGATTATTCTGAAAATAGCAAAATTGAAGTATAAATAACATTATTTATAGCAGTTTATTAGTATCTCTCATAATTGATCAATCATATACAGTATTCATTTACTTAAATTATTGACGTGATTTAATATAATTAAATTTTTATCATTATCGTTATACAGTATATGATATTTATATAGAGATTCTTAATTATTGTTCATTTATTTTATTTAATAAACCTCCATGGGTGGAAGATGACTATTATAATAGTATTTGGATCAGAGTTCGACCAAGCAGAGGCAGGGTTGGCCCTTTACCCATTGGGAAAATGGAGAACATTTCCATTGCCATTGGTCTATTGTTTCATTGAAAATGTTCTATGAATGAAGCCAATGGAAATTAAATGTGTATATATAGTATACACGTATTTTGAAAAAATTTTTTAAACAATATCTTGACAATTATCAAGATAAAATTATGTAAATAATTTTTGACAGTAAATAACTTTGAGCCACTAATCCCTTTTGGATGATTTCACCATTAAAATGTTCATTTTAACGAGACGACTCTAGCGAGCCTAAAACTTCTAAAATCCAATCACATCACAATCGTTAAGATTATTTTAATTAATATATTATTAAAATTTAATTTAAATTTTTAATAATCTTGGAATCCTATGATTGGATTTTACCTATTTTGAACATGATAAAAGTTACTCATTGTTAGCGGTTATACTGTATATATTTTTAATAGTAATCCAGTCCACGGATATTACAGTCAAACATCTCTATAGTCACGCTGATCCGTATCAGGGACTGGTTAAATCAGATAATTCCCTGGCTTCGATCTTGAATCCTTTTTGGGAAATATTTATATTAGGGGGTTTCAAAGTTAAAATCAGAGAATCTTATTTTATTTTTCCGATTTATAATTCAACATAGTAAAAATACTATTGAAAAAATCCTATTTATTTTCGAAATGCGTCACTTATTTGTTAACTTTGAAACCCCCAATTTTACATAGCAGAACTTAGAAATATATAGTTACTGTATATATCCTCTCCTCTATACTTATTCAAACTGATATTTTCGAATTCTATAAGCATATAAGATTAGGAACATCCTTAAAAGACAAAGTTATCAAGGTTATAACTTAAAAATTGGAATGTTATATTTTGTATTAAGATGTCTCAATAATACCTGCCCATTTCGATATTTAAATCCTACGATTTTGGAGTCCTCAAATTCGTACTCTTAAGTTGACTTAGTAATCAAAACAAACGAACTTAATATAAGTATTTTTTTTCGTCATGGCTAGTAATCAAACGAACGAACTATACTATCATCATATATAAATAGAGTTTATTTGACTTAACCAAGTTTTTAAATACAAATTCTATCAAACTCGTATGTATATACGCACCTACGTACTACATATTTGAATTACATTGTGGCGTAGTTAGTGGAGGTCTTTCCTTTTTTTTATTGTGTAATAAGTCAAAATTAAAATAGTATATATAACGGTGCGCAAACTTTATCGTTAAAATTAAGTGACCAAATCATTTGGTAACATCCTGAATAATTTCTTTTTTTTTTCTAGTACTTAAAATTAAGGATGTCAGAAGAAAAAATACGTGTTGAAGTTTATGGGTCAAGTGTTCCCGGAAATATTTTTGTACGTAAATTATTTGACCCTAAAATTATGATAGTGAACACTAAGTGCAAACTGTTGATGCAAACTGTTGAGAATGGTGCATTTAAAGAATCTTATATTTAGAAGGCTTATGCACGAACACTCTGATAGAATAACTTAATGCATTTATATTTAATTGGCTGATCAAAGTAATTTGCGAGAATTTTGCACTTAGAGAAAGTTCTCTGCAATATCATTCTATTTTTTTTTTACATTCTTCATAAGTTCTTTCATTTTTATAATTGTAGGTTAAACAAAATCATATGTCTGTTGAATCAATATTAAATGCAAACAAAATTCCCTACAAATTTATCGATGTTGCTGCTGATGAAAATCATTTAAAATATATGAAAAGAAAAAACGGTGGTAAAAAAGACTTACCTCAAATTTTTGTCGATGGCGAATTTAAAGGAGTATGTTTATAATCAAATTTATTTATTATTTATTCTTTTATCCAACTTCATTTATATTAATTATTAATTGTATTTGACTTGATAGACTACAAAAGAACTTGAGGAAGCTGTTGAAATGAGAGAAGTAAGAGAGTTTTTGGGTTTGGACAAATAGTCACTCTTCACAACATAACCCTTTTTTTTTTTCGTTCCAAAAACCAAATTATATTATATACTTTATTATATCGTCAATTGTTTACAATGACATATGTACAAATTTATTAATATTGAATAAAGTATTCTTGATATATGATTGTATTAATTATAAGAAATTTAAACTCTAATAATATTGATTTTCCAATATATATCCTGATTCTGACCTACTGGTTTTGTTGACCCCAGGCCCAAAAGCTGGCGCTGGTGGTGTAAAATTTGCCAAATCCAAAACCATACGACCTCCAGGAATTAATGCCTGAAGGTCTGCTTTGCTTGGAACAACTTGAAATGTCACCTTTTTTATTTATAAAATAAATCTTAATTATTGTGGACTTATTTGTGGATTTGTATTGAAAGCTTTAATTTTAAAATCTTTCAATTCAATATAAAGAAATTCTACCAATAACTTTATAGAGATTATGTAAAGAACAAAGCTACCGGTGGAATTTGAAAAATTTCGCCTCTATATTGAATCGAAAGATTTTAAGGGAATTATTAAGGCTTTTTGCACCGTATTTATTTTTCATCAAACTCACCGTATCATTTATTCCAACATAACTATTGTATAGTTCATTTACTTCCGAGTACTCTTGTGCCGCACGCGCTGCGATCATAGGAGATTTACATTTAGTTAAAAGATGTAATATTTCTCTAGCTTCTGTGATAAATCCAACGGCTTTTCCGTTTTGCCTTTTGGACCAGATACTTTAGTATGAATATAAAAATAATTGAAAACTTTAGAACAATTATACCCACTGATGGTCGTAAGCGTCTTTTGCCAAGAATTTCTTTCCAAGTGACTGGCAACAAAGATAAATATTAATTATAAATAAATAAATAAATAAAAAAAAAATAATAGTAAAAACCGAATATTCAAAAATAAAAATAAATACCTGATGAAACAATACACCATTCGACACATACTTTCGGAAATCACCACATACTTTTGTCGAATCTTTTAGACTTTTAATGAGTCCATTCGCCATTTCATAATTTCCTGCAACACCAATAGCCAATTTTGCAAGTAAAGATGGTGATGTTTGCTGCATAAGGGCTTTGCGAATAGCAATTGATGATGCATCAGCAAAAGCAATCCTAAAGTAAAATATAATAATAAAAACTTTAACTGTAAATGATAATAATAATATTATGAACCAAGTTAGTACTTATTTGATTACTTTGATGTTGATGCTGATATTTCTGCTAAAACATCCGGAGGTCTGGACGGTGGTGGTTTAATCCATCTAGGACATACTTTCTCAGAAATATACGTGAAAACACCTGAAGCTCTACGTAATATATCCGCCGCCTTTAATTTTATTATAAATCATTATCCTATTATATAATAAGATTGAATTCAAGGTTCACTTACCTGTTTCAATTTACTATCAATTTCATCATTCTGTGGCTGCTTTTCTATAATGCTTGACGCCCAATTAGAACACGCGTACCCGTACGTCATAAGCGTGAAAATTAATTCATAATAAATCCCTCGACATACTACTCGTTTCTTTTTAAGAACTGAATCGCTAAGTGTACAACGCCATGATGTCTCTAAAAACAAACGATTTAAAATTATCTCAATTTTTTCAAATCAAATAAAATATATTCTCGGGTCATATAATATCTCACCAAATTCTTTTTTCAATTTCAGTTGGCCTCCTTCTAGACAATCAACAATACCAAGCAAATATGGCAAATAATCATCGACAGTCTGCTTGAAAATGATACCTAAATATCTAATATTTTTACTTAAGAAATGTATATACATGATTCAATTACCTTCATAACCTTTGTGTAATCTTTCGGACCTTCGGCTTTATTGGCCTCCTTCAAAACGGCACGAACACGACCTCTCTGAGCGGTTGCTTCGGAAATTTCATTTAGGTATAAATGGTCTTCGTCTAACAAAAAATCAGAAAATGAAATGGTTCCGGTAGTCGGAAGCGGATATATAAAACTCATTTTATCGTAGGATGCGAAAATAAAACTTCAATATTACAGTATTACAGTATCTACAGTACCGGTATTATTCATTGATTGTTGCACTGCATATAATTGTAAATCTTGTGCGCATATTCTGCATTACTATTTTTAATGGTTTTCCACGCGAGAACAAATTTTTTGCGATTCCATCAATCATTCAAATCCATTATACAAACTAACTCTCTTTATTTTCCTGAAAATATTAAAGTGGTAAGTTGACCGGCAACATCGATATATGCTACAAATTTCACGCGATTACATTTCGTTTGTCACTTTATATTAAGGTTTTACCACAAATAAGAGAGTATGCGAGAAGGAGGAGGAGACACGCGGCAAAAGTAATTCCAGACAATTCTCTTCCATTTACCGATGCTGTGTCATTGATTAAGGTATTTATCCAACCGTTAAGCTTATTTATATGTTACGTCACCTATTATAAGTTATCATCATTTATTATATAGGCAGTTGAAGTAGGAAAACCGAATTCTACATGGGAATTACATGTAGAATTAAAATTGGAGAAAGGTGCGCCTCCAATTCGTGGATCAATTTTTTTACCAAGACCAATGTCAAAAACTAATAAGTTTTTGGTATTTGCAAAGGTAGGAAGAAAGTAAATATATTATTCTACATTACATACTTTGCAATTAATTAGTTTTATGAAAAGGGTGCGAAAGCACAAGAAGCTTTGGAAGCCGGTGCGCATATGGTCGGTGGCGATGAACTTATTACTGAGGTTTGTTATTCTTATGTTACAAAAATAATTGTATTCTAGACATTAAATTCTTGAATTTTACTCCAATTTATAGATAGCAAATGGTACTTTTAAATTTGAAGACATTAACAAATGCTTAGCAACCCCAGATATATTTCCAGAAGTTACTAAAATAGCGAGAATCCTGGGACCAAAACATTTGATGCCAATGGCCAAAAGAGGTACTGTTACAAATGATATCGCTAGTGTAATCAAGGATTTGACTGGAAAACAGGAAATCAAGAGTGATAAGACGGGTGTTGTTCATCTTGGCAAGTTTTTCATATCATCTTATGTTGCTGTATTGACTTTTTATGTATGCTTTATATTAATTTTGATTTTTACTTTATAGGAATCGGAAAGGTGTGTAAAACAATTAAATAAAGATTTAATTTTATTTATTAAAATTAGTTATTAATATTTAAAAATCCATATCTATAATTGGAATAGCTTTTTTGGCCTATAGTGGACTTAAGAGGTTAGTGTTTATTATTAAAGTATGATATAGTAAACCTTTGTGTTATTATACAAATTAAAATATTATTTTTAAAAACACATAAACAGACAATATAAAAGTTATTTTACAAGAGATAAATAAGATTGGTAAAGATCATTCATCTAAGTCGTCAAATAAAGGTTAGTCATTATAGTATTAATAAATAATTAATAGTTTAATTTTGGCTTTTATTAATAAGTAGTATTTTATAGATATTATAACAAATGTAGCTTTAAGTTCAACAAGAGGTCCCGGAATTTATTTACTTGATTATAAAATTTTAGTTGAAAAAGCAAATGAAAAACTAATTTTGTGAAATTAATTTTATTAAAATAAAAATATATATACAGTTGTATAAAATTAATTATTTAGATAAATTTTTATTTTTCAGTTTAATATACTGTATTAAATAAATAATAAAATACTATAGAATATATATATATTTTATAATTAAAAATAAGTTTAATCTAATTAATATAAAAGTTAATTATTAACTATATAATAAAATATATCCTTACAGTATAACAAAAAGTTTTGCTTAAAAATAGTAAATACAGTATTTTATACAGTATTTTTTAATAATAAATTCTATTTAAAAAAGAATTAATATAATAGGCTGCTATTAATAAATTAAAGCAGATTTATATATATATTTTTTTAAAAAAATTAATACTCTAACTTTTATAGCTTATACTTTAATAAATTTCAAACTATTTTGATAAATTAATATTCAAAAAGCTTAAATTTTAGACTTTTTTTTTAATTATTAATTTATTAAAATAACTTCAAAATTTACAAAGATATTATATAAGCTATTAAGTTAAGATATTAATTTTTTAAATTTTTTTTTTTTTGGTGATTATATTATATTTTATTAGAAGAGTAATAGTTATATATGCTAATGCTAATACTGTTTCCAATACTGAGTATCTTACAATTAAAATATGGTTCACCTAATTACCAGAAGTACTTATGTGCGACCTACCAAAGTAGAATTTGTCTCATTGCCAAATTTGATATTTTTGTCTTATTTTAGTAACTCATTAACTAGGTTTTATGGCCTATCATGATCTTTTTAGTTTGGTTGTATATCAGAATCCCGACACACAAAATCCCGACACACAAAATCCCGGCAACAAAATCCCGATATACAAAA